TTAATCCCTTGCTTCAACGCCGCTAAAGTTTTAAAACAGCGTAACAGACAGAATGTAATGTAGAAGTTATTAGTTAATTATATCTAAAGTACAACATCACAGTCTTTCCTGATGCGTTTATCACACAAGTTGACATCACAATGATGCTTAAAACAAAAAAGATATATTGTATAGCCCTAATAAATTACTATATAGCTATCGCTATAGCTATCAGACAAATGTAGTGGAGTAAAAAGTACAATATTTCCCCCTAAAATTGTGTCGAGTAGAGAGATAAAGTAGCATACTCAGGTAAAGTAAAAGTACCTTGAAACTACTTGAGTAGATGTACTTATTTGCTTTTCACCACTGTAGGTCTGCGTACTGGATTGTCTCCGATATTAGAAGTGAAATTAGATTTGTTTGCATTAATTTGTTTGGAAAGCTACTTATTTGTCATGCCTGTCAGGGCTTTATGTTCAGCAGGGTATTTCAGCCGACCATATGGAATTCTTAAAAGCACCAACCCGCTTTTCTCAGTTGAAAAATAGCACATGATTGAATGTAATAGGAAATGTCTAGCCCTCCACCCTAATGCTACAGTAATTGCTTTACGTTGCCTTGACTTTGACGTGGCATGTTTTTACAGTGATGGAGTGGATGTGTGGACATTTCTTTAAATGAGCTTATTAAGGTGACGGAAATGTCACAGTGATTATTTTTTCACTTAAAACTTGTGACAAGTCCAGACTAAAAGTTGTGAATTATGAAATATTAATTTAGACGATATTTGAAAAAACTATCTACCTGTGAACACTGTACAATAATTGTTTTTCCTCACAATTTTGTTATCTGCTAAAGCCTTGAAATGCCAAAATGTTACTTGCTTTTTAAATGTAGTCACACAGAGAACTCCGAAATAAAACCAGATACTTCAGTTTAAACCTGAATGAGGAATTCACTATGACCCAGTTTAGCCAGCTATAAAGGAAGCTATATGAGGGCATAACTAACACACACACACACACACACACACACACAACCAGACCACACAGAGTCCATCTCTTAACTTGCAAAAAAGAAGTTGGTAAAAACTTAGATGTGTTTCTGTAGGTCAAACAGAAACGCTGATGTGACAAGTCTCCTGTCCATTAGCGGCCTTGTCTGCTCCCATCTCGTCAACCACCACTGTCATTCACCGGATTCGAGTCTTTCCTTTAATGCAGTAGCTGCTCCTTATACAGCAAGTTAATATATATATGGGATTTTTGAAGTGTGACCCTGAGGGCAATTATTGCTTTACGTCAGAGAGTGTTTTTCATTCAGGATATATGTGTTTATTCCACTGTTAAAAATCTCTTACCCATAAGCATACTATTCAGTAATTGTGCTGTGGATAAAGTGAGCATCAATTGATAAAGACATAAAGAAGCAAGCATAGATAAAAACATTTTCTCTCGCCTCTCACTCACTCAGCACATGTCCATTTAAATAATGGCACATGCTTTTAGATCATTTTATTTAACTACACTGTAAAGCGTCATTTTCTGATATCTTTTTATGACATTAACGATGTCTAGACGTGTCTGTCAGCGAGGCATTTAGGACGGCTAACAAAGCTTCAGCTGTCATTTTTTCTCTTAATGGCTGTCCAAAATGTCACATTTTTTGTGTTTGGCATGTAACCTAGACTGCACAGTAGCATGCCTGCTGACAAAAGATCACTCAGTAAAAGAACAGTCACCTCACAGCAACCCCCCCAAAAAACAAAAAACTGTCATCTCCTTGTTCCGGTGTCCGTCAAAATGTCTTTGAGGTTGACATGAAGACAAAATGTAGTAAGAGTTCCTGTACTGAAGCTCTGACAGTTTGTTGTTACACCTCTGAACAGGGCATTCTATGACATTACATGTCTTTTCACAAGTGTCAAATCCAAATAATGACAGTCACAGCCCCAAATGTCTTTATTCATGTCATACCAATCAGCATGTGTAGAATGGTAACTTCTTTTTTTAACCATGCTAGCAGCTCAGATCTGTGAATGGAAACTATATGATGGATTGTCAAGAAATTTTGTGCAGATATTCCTGATCCCAAGAGGATAAATTCTAAGGATTTAAAGGGAAACTTGTATTTTTTTTAACCTAGACCATAGTTTTTCATGTTTTTGTGGCTTAGTGACTGATGGGAACAACAGCTTTTGAACTTGGTCCAGTGCGGAGTGAGAGCTGTGCAGCTGGCAGTTGCAAAATGGCCTGCAATGTAATTCTTTGGGGCAATCGCGCACAGTCATTGTACATCCACGAAAAGTGCTTGTTTTTGCCACTGACAGGCTCATATTGTTATTATACATGTCTGACAACATTATGGAAAGGACCCTACAAGAAATAAAATGTTGTCTTTACCTTCAGTCCGGTCTGTTTGTTGTTGTGTCTGGCTCAAAAGAGAAGAGTTGAGTTGTTGCAGAAAGTCATTAACAAACAGACCGGATCAGGTGAAAGGTAAAAAGAAAAACGTTTTATTTCTCTGCAGGACCTTTCCATAATATTGTCAGACACTTCATCAGAGTCTGAAACCTTTTGCTTTATTCGGTCTGTTTGTTAATGTCTTCCTGCAACAACTCAATTTGCGAGACTTCAGAAAGAGTTTTTCTTTTTAGTTGGACACAATAACAAACAGACCAGGTAAAGGGTAAAGACAACTTTTTATTTCAGTGTAGGGTCCTTTCCATAAAGTTGACAGACACCTGTTATAATTTGAGCCTGCGAGTGGCAAAAACAAACACTTTTAGTGGACGCACATTGACAGTGAGCGATTGCCTTGAGGGCTTACATTGCAACCCATTTTGCAACAGCCAGCTGCAGGGCTCTTACTCTATACTGGAACGGTTTTAATTTTACACCTGTAGTTCAGTACACCTGGTCCGACCAGGGGGAAAAACCATGACGTTCTACTGGCTGACAAGTAACTTGTTGATTGGACAGTTTTGGCATTTGTCATCCTGCATCGTTGGTGCATCCTCAGGACCCACATGGGGACATCTAAGTCTAGTGACTGACAATTGTTAATGCACCAGGACTTTGATGCATGTTTATATTTTTGTTATTTGGTGTGACAAAGAGCTCAAAGAGAAATAACTAATTATAAGCATTATAAGGAGGCTGTTTCTAGACTGCAAATCGATCTCATGTTATGAATAATGACAAAGATAGAGACAGGATAAAAAGAAGGCCTCTTGTACAGTCATGACTCGGGGCTTAACTGTGACAAAGTACGTGGAGTCAGGTATAATCATGGCAGTTGTAACAACTTTTTAATCAGGGAAAATACCCTCTCCGATGTGCATATGTCTTATGAGATCGTAGACAGATTTCACAATCAGCAAATAAATTGAATATTGGTGTAGCTGTTGCTAAAATCACATCTGCCATCATAAATTCCTTAGGTTGGTTTGTTTTCTTTCACCCTACTAATGAACTGCACCAGAGTCCGTTCAGAAACGGAATGAGACCCACCTTTTTGAGCAGTCTCAGTTCGGTTGTTAAGTCCACTGCAGGGTTTGATTGCCAGCTTTCACACCAGACATAACGAACCATACTAACCACGCAAACTGACCTGAGTTCATTATAACCAAACCAAGCAGGTTAGGTGTCAAAGCACCCTTAGGGACAAAAACATGAGAATATATTCAGTCCAGGTTGAAAAATACCAAAGTTTTCTTGTAGCACCACTAGTGTGTCAGAGTTTTTACTTACCCAGTGATATAGCTCAATGTCGACTGAATGAATCGGCTCAAAATGTAGCATAGATCTGATAATTGTTGTGATAATTAGTCTCTCTTAATGGTGTCTTGTAAGCCTGTTTGGGCTGGGCGTGTTATGTATGCATGACACAATAATAAAATCAAATCAGCAACACCACAGAGCTTTAGACAGTCTCTCCCGAAAGGCATTTATAGTGTTGCACTTGTTTGTAGCTTGATAGAAAAGTTCAAACCTTGTGTACTGTCTCACCTCTGTTGAGCAGCTCAGGGGCTGAACTGGGCACTGCTGTGGGAACAAATAGCTTGTATGCTCAGTCGGCTTATTCTGAAAAGCCTAAATTAAGGTTTGAGAAACGAAAAGTAATGTTAAAGATAACTAACACTGTGAAGTTGAATGTTTCTGCTCAGGGTTTGTTGTTGTTGAAGTCAGTCGTCTTAAGATAAAAAAACGACCTCTAAAAATCCATGTTCTCACCTAATGATAATGGAGCAGGAGGAAGGGAACATGCAGTCCAACATTATAAAACAGTTTTGAAGTTCTCGGCTTTTATTTACTTTATTTTTTGATTTGCCTGGCGGGGGGCAGCTATGCCTAGGTACATTTGGTCGATCCTTAAATCAATTTCTGTTTTCATGTACCTGAATCGAGTCTGTATTTTTTGTTGTTGGCCATTTTTGAAATTGAATTCTCAAAAGTCGTTCTGCTCCCTCTCTTTTGTCTCTGTGTATTCCCTGTTTTCTGCTGTGAAAATGGAAACCCATCTCTAGCTCTCATCCCTCCCTCTCTTTCTTGTAATAGGCTCATCTCTCCTTTTCCCTCTCTGCTCCCTCTATCTTTCGTGAGTCTGAATAAAGCAGCTAATGGTGCATGGAAATGGTGGCACCACAGTCACGCCTATAGACAGATTCTTTCTCTGTTATGTGTTGCAGTATGTAAGTGAAAATACACATTTACAAGGATGAGAGGAAGTCGTTCTTTCACCCATCTCATCAATTTATTGTATGGCAACGTAAGAGCTTAATGACAAACGTGAACTGCAAAAAAATACGAAAGGCTATTATTATACAACAACCTGCTGTTTGTGTTTTTTCTTTATTTTTGCGAAATATGTGATAACTTAGTTCTGGTTTAGTTAGTTTCTCATCGGACGTTTCAGTTTCTCTTTACAGTATTACAATGTATTAATGATTTGAGGGCAAGCTACCGCTGATGATGAATGTGATGATGATGATGTTGTCTCTTATCTGTGCTCAGGTGTACATCCGTATCCTGGACAATGAGTGGAATGTGTACAGGCGCTACACCGAGTTCAGGGAGCTCCACAACCACCTGAGGACCCAGTTTCCACAGGTGGACGCCTTCAACTTTCCACCCAAGAAAGCCATAGGGAACAAGGTGAGCTGCAAGTAACCATGTCCTGTTTGTCTGACAGACTGTTGGCCTTTCTCTGTCAAACACTCCTGTAGAGCAGTCACACATAAAGAATAATGTTTGAGCCCCCTTTGATAATTAGGGAGTGAAACAATGGATCCTTCATTTCCTTGATCCATGAGGTAGACACAAGCAGAATCATTGTATCTACTCAACTGTGGACTTTGTTATAGATCAAATAAGCTGTAGCGAGCTAATTGAGCTAATATTAGCTGTGGGAGTCGAGTAGGAGGTATAGCTGCCACTGTTGCAGCTACGTGACCCGCCCACCAGTTACATGACTCACCCACCATCATTCCACAATCAGCTCCTGCTGCTTGGTCCTGAAGCATAAGCCCTCAAGAAAATGCTACAGCAAGATACATTTAGCAGTATCAGGTTAAAAGAGAGGCGGTTAACGTTAGGGTTAAGGGTTATATCTTGCTACTTATATGGTGAGTCACATCTTCATGTATGATGAATGAAGTAAATGAATAAGGTGGATTATTGCGACATTGGGCCTCATATTTATTCAGTAATTCCCATTGCAGGTTTCAAATGGCTGCCATGTTGGTGGGTTTGCTGCCTGTGGGCGTGGTTTGTAGGGGCATGTCATGTAGGCGTCAAACAGAATGTGACTGCAGGTATACATGTCTTGAGATGATTTTGTGCTAAAAGATTGAGGCAAATAAGTCAATGAGGAAATGACCCTACTTTATACTTGATTTATTACCACAGTTTACATTTTGCTGGTGAGTTTCTGGTCGTAATCACTAGTTTCAAGTCTTCTCCAAAACAGCATGATGGTATGGTCCCATTTAGAATCAAGTAGACAATAAAGCAGGGTATGCTTTTGGGCGTGGCTACTTTGTGATTGACAGGTTACCATCACAGCTACCTGTCAGTCAGGATAGAGGCATAGATATGCACATCCAAAGCACTGTACACATTTAAATAGCTATGAACTTATTTTTGGTTGTTGCTAGTGTTTTCGTTTGAGAGGTTTGACCCTTTTTTTTTCAGTTCATGAAAGTTAATTGTAATGTTTTGGTCACCCTTAACCTAATTGTTAAGCATTCAGTTGTACTAAAAGACAATCTAAGGAGACTGCTGCATCTTTTTTTTTTTTTTTTTTAGTATATTTTGTTGTTCTAGCCAAAATTAGCTTTCTTAGTAGCAACTTTGTATGGTATAGCCAGGAGCCAGGTGCAGTCAGGTCGCCGTATAAGTTGGGGTGCATAGAGACCTTGGGTTCTCAGTCAGATCAACTCTACGCTCCTCCACAGCTCCACCCTCTCGTCCAAATACAGTCAGTTCTGGCTCCCCAAAAACAAGATGGCAGTGACCAAAATGCAAGGATTCACAATGGTAGTCCACAAACCAATGGATGACATCATGGCAGCTATGTCCCCTTCTTTTATACGGTCTATGTGATTAACAGTGTTCACACTTTTGCTCTTGTGATTTTGGTTTTGGATTTGCCAAAAAAAACACCACCTTTCAGTCCCCATGTGCACCGGTTTGGCATGTGGACAAATCCAAAGCTTCACAGACTTGCTGTGCCGAGTTATGGTTGTGAAGCTTTTCCTGAAGGGGATGGCTTTGGTTTACGTTGTTTGAACCCTTTTCATCCCTATAAAAGACCCTCTCCCCACATGACTTTCACCAGTTATTATAAAAATGTATATCAGCCTGTAGAGAAGGTAAACCCTCTTGGTCAGATGGGTATAACTACTGCGATTTCCCTGCTAGCACTCCATCACTCTTCCTCTACTTCCATCTTTTTTTGTTTTGCTGACACACACACACACACACACACACACACACACACACACACAGCCTCACTTTTCATCTACAGGGGACAATCGCCGCTCCAGGCCCCCATGGCTCACTCACCTGTCTAGTTAGGAGAACTGCCATCTCTCTCTCTCCTCCTTCTCCTCACCCCTCTTCTCTTTCCATCCTTTCATCCTGTTCTCCTCTGTCTCCCTCCAACCTTTGGGAGATAATTTGGTTCTGACCCCGATTCTCTGGCTGGTTGGATTTGACGCGGCCACAGCCCAAAGCTGTGGTCTGACTCTCCTACCTTCAAAGACACTGCTCTTTCACGGCTAGAAACTGGACTGAACGCTGATGTGCAGGGGCTGCAAATGTGAGAAGAGCTTCAGTGTGTATGTGTGTTTCTGTGTGTGTGTGGTGGGTCTGTGTTGGTCTGTAAGACTGTGTGGGATCATGTGGAAGTGCAAGTGTCTATCAAAGGCCCAGCCAGTCTGTGTCATTGCGTCCTGGAAAGCTCTCTGAAAGCCCATTACACTGCAGGTTTGTGTGAATTATTGGTTTTCGCCAGCTCCAGGAAGTCGGCCATCACTGCAGATAGCAGCTCTGGCTTTGTTGCTCTCTGACCACATTTTAAAGCAGGAGCACCACACGCTGCTGGAAAGTCCAACACAAACTGAACCCTTGTCTTACACTTCCTGTAAAGTCTTAACGGGTATATCTGAGCATCTTAAAACCAAACATTTTTTGTCCTGACCTTGCTTCACTTATGTGGAGGTGTACTCATGGTATCGTCAGAGCACCATGATGGCACTGTTGCATGTGGTCAGAGGGGTTGCAGATTGGAAACCTTCTTTGAAACAGTGATTTTCAGGGCTTAATACATTACATCGATAATGTAATCCTTTTGAATAACTGGCAGGAATAGTAGAGTTTGTCAACCAGCCTTTTCCTCTCTGTTAATTTTATTATTTCCAGTTGCGCTCACTCAATATTTTCTTCTCATAATACACAAACATTAGATTTTTATTTGTGCTCTTCTCAATAAATTTTAATGTAATTTTCCTTTTATACCCAAATTACCTTTACCTCCGTTTGCCATCATGTTTTTGTGTTTCGAGTGCATTTTTATAAGCCTCCTGAGGTGTAATCCTCACCCACACAGTTTGTATTTGCGCTCTCTATTAACAGTTTATATTACTTTACAAATAAACTGTGCCTACAGTGATGTTCAAGTTAGGTTGCACTGTGGAGACCAGCTTCCCTGTTGATTCTTTTGTCTTTCAGTTTGATACTAAAACCTAAAATGATGGAGACAGAATCCAAAATCTTTCTCCCTTTTTTTGTTCCATCTTTAAGCAACCAGCGGCCCATTTCACAGAAGCCTTTTGCAAGCGCTGCCTACACACGTCACGTTTCATAATAGGTTGTTCTAAACAAAATTCTATCACATTTGGTGGGACCTTCAGGGCTCTCGCATGGGCCTCAAGCATGGTATTTGTTTTGTCATGTTGCAGAGCAGCTTGTGTGCTGAAAATCTGGTGAAACCAAGCTGCAAAGCTTTCACTTTGAGCATACAGTATACTTCTATTGTACATGTAGTTGCCTCATATCAGCTATGTCTTGTTTTTGTCTTTATTAGTCCCATATTCTTCAATTGTCTTCTAATGTTCATTCAGTCAGTTCATTCCTATTAGGGGTCGCGGGGGGAGCTGATTCTAGCTGACATTGGGCGAGAGGCAGGGTACACCCTGAACAGGTCACCAGACTATCACAGGGCTGATACATAGAGACAGATAACCATTCACATACATTCACACTTCCCGCCAATTTAGAGTCACCAATTAGCCTAACCTGCATGTCTTTGGATTACGGGAGGAAGCCAGAGTACCCAGAGAAAACCCCTAATGTGCAAGAACAGATTCAAGTCAGATTCCCTTCAAATCCAATGTGTACATGACAAAAAAAGTCCACTCTGACAATCTGGATATAGTTATTCTGCCCTTCTGTGTTTAAGGATTTGCAGCACATTGCCACTGTGTTTTTAATTTCTTTAAACAGATATCACATATGAATGTCGAATCTATAGGAAACTTGCCAAGGATTTGGGTATCGGATGCATTCTGGTCTGCATTTGTACTGCAGTCCATTTGTAGTCCAAGTAGTATTGATCAATCATGTTTCAGCAGGCTTTAAACAGTCTGTGTGGAGAGCAATAAAAGCGAAGTTCATTGGCTATCATCTGACAACAATTTAGCTTTTTATTAGCATTTTTTAAATGTTTCTGCTTTCATATGCAGATATCTGTTTACAGACATTAGTAAACAATGACTGGTGCATGGAAAATAAAGTCTTGGCCCGGTTATTCGCTGGCTTTGTTGGCCATTGCTCTCAGAGACTAAATCATCTGCAGGCCGATAGCTGATGGTTTCCGACATTGTAGTGTTCTCTACCAGAAACACGAGCCTCTACCTCACCCATTCACCAACCTGTTTTTCTGCACATTTTACAATTGCAGCTGCAAAAATAGTTAGAAAAAATTCCATTGTCGCAAAAAGTTATATTTGATAGAAAATTGGTGAATTAGAAGCCGTACAAAAGGGTGACGGAAAAATAATTTTAATTGACTAGTTTGTCATGAATGCAGTATTGTGAGGAATGCAGAAAAGAAATGACATGGTTGACCATGAGTTGCAGAAGAGTTAAGCGAGCAGCTTAATGTTTTGGCTGGCATTTTCATGGACAAAAAGAAATCACACATTTTTGCACAGAGGTTTGGTCCACCACAAACCTGTGCTCATATCAGAGTGAATTTCTCTCGAAGGTGAGGCTGTAGTAACTATCATAAGATCAACATTTTAAAAATTAATGTAACATCACCTATGCATGCTACAGCCTTTCAACTTTCAACAAAGATATTTATTACTCGGTTGAGGAGAGTCGTTCATACACCACAAACTAAGTGAATTTTATGAAGTCCTTCAAGCTGTAAAATTAATTAAATTTAATAATTTCCTCAAATTTCTAAAATGAGCTGCTATAGCAACAGAAGTTCTGGAGAAACATTGCCAACAAAAAACAGAGCTGAAGGCCTTAGGGCCAGACTGAAATGAAATGAGGGAGCAGGTGGAGGGCTTTATAGCTCAAAGATGTGATAAGTACCAGATTGGTGAAGTATGTGTGTGTAGGTTTAATGTGTAAGTGTGCTT